TTTTTTTTTTTTTTAAACTGGGTTGTAATAATTGTTCATGAAATTCCTAGAACTTTCTTTCCAATCAGATACTTGCACCCAATGAAATACTATTACAAGAAACTCTCATTTTATCCATCGTTTTCATAGGTTGTCACATCTACTTCACACCCTACTGACAATACTCCATACTTGTGTGGATGTAGGCAAGAATTAGCTCCATGCAAATGGTGCCTGAGGGTGCCATGAAAAAAATTTTTATGCAAGAAAATATATAGGGAATACATCAGATAGAAATTATTATTCAACCACAGATAAGTTGATTTCAGGCATTTCTGAGGTCATGCAGTGATTCGCACATCTGAAGGAGGAACAAGAGACAGGCCTCCAAAACTATGAAGTTAATAAAAGTGATGTGTTCGGAAGACATAGTTTCTTGGGCAAAACACAAGCATTCTTCATATTAGCTTTCTTCTATCATGCAACATTCACAGGAATTGCCCTGGTTTTCCACAATGGACAATGTTCTGTAGCATAAATTGACAGAGTGGATAAATATACTATTAATATATCTAAAAAGTCGCTCACTTATCAATCATCTCCAAAGTGATATTGGGGACAAGCCTGGAAGCATTCTGCAAAACAAACCTGAAGGTAAAGGCATAACAATAAGCCAAGGTAGAGAAATATTCTTTAAAAATATATTGGGAGACTTGGAAATACAAACCATCGGAGGGCCATTTTGATTGGTGTGGTAAGACAAGATGTGAAGAGATCTGCTGGTAGGTCAGGGTTCATGGGAAGCGTTTGAGTTGTGGAGCAGGCAGCCAAGAGAATGCAATTCTTAAATGAGACATTATTTGAATTACTTCCAAGTTGTCCCCCACCAATATGACTCTTCTGAAGGGTCTGAAATCATGTGCATAATTTGGCAAGATAAGTCACTATCCCTTTGAAGGAACAGTACATCAATGACATGACAAAAGGGCAAATATGCAGATTTCACAATTTGAAAATTTTACCCACTAGACCCTTGGGGTTGGTTCTACTATCACACAAAAGGGTAAATATGAGCTCTTAGCAATTATAATATTACCATTCCTCTATCAAGGGTTAATGTTTTTCCTTTACTCTGTAGTTTGAAAAAAAAAAAAGAAGTCTCATTTCAAAATGTGCTTATTTGCCCTTCAATGATATGCAAATGAGCAGCTGGGACTCACTTCAAGCTCCTTCTCATGCTGCTCAGCAAGTTCACAGAACTTATCCACAATGATGCCTGCATTAGAGCAGTCATATACATAAATTGATGGAGATCCCATCCAGGCCTGAAGTTCATAAATGCCAAGAGGGATGTACTGAGTATAACTCTGGAATGAAACAACAAAAAAAACTAGAATTTTAATACTTTCACTCCCAAGCCTAAGTAGGTAGTATATGCATTAATTCCCAAGCTAGTCTTATCCCAAAATGGCAGTGTTACTTGAAAAATTATTACATATCCAATTTAACTATTAGCACATAAAACCAGTGCTGAGAGATTGGCACCTTGGGAATTTCAACATGAATATAAAGAGTCAATATATTGGCACCTTCAGATTCTAAGGGTTAATAGATCCTNTGAAAAATTATTACATATCCAATTTAACTATTAGCACATAAAACCAGTGCTGAGAGATTGGCACCTTGGGAATTTCAACATGAATATAAAGAGTCAATATATTGGCACCTTCAGATTCTAAGGGTTAATAGATCCTGAGAGTCTTAAGATGTCAAATAAAAATACGTGCTTTCAATTAAATGTAAGAAATAAATTGCCTACATTCATTGAGTGATACTACAACAAGGATGCACTGTTCTACATTTAACCCCTTGGAATTGTATTTTTTCACAGAATGTTTGTCATTTTTCAAGTCATCAAGCCTTTAACCAGTGTTAACTTGAAGCAGTGCTGCTATGCAACCATACAGGTTAAGACAAACCTTGCCACTCAATTCAAACCAAACTTGATGTCCCCGTCACAATCACCAAATTAAAAAAAATTTTTTGCTTGAAGGATTGAAGAAATTGAACTTATGATTGAAGGATTGAACAGCCATGATGGCATACACTGTCGAATGATGGCAAGGGGTTAAATCTCAATATAAAAGCTTCCTGAACAATGAGGTAGGGGCCTGTGAGATGACCAGGGACCACATGAAAGGGAGGGGAGTGGAACGAAACATTGAAAACACTTCAACTGAAAGTCAAATTGAAGTCCAAGACAAAACAAGATCACTTCATAGACATGCCTTCAAGTCACCTAGTACTAACAACAATTCTCACACAAAATTCTAATGATTCAACTTAGACCTTGGTGGCATTAAATTAAACTCTCAGGCAAACTGAGGCATAACCACTAAGTAGTATTGTGAGATACAAGCACTCAAGGACATTTTTTCCCCCTCTCCTTTTTTTCTTCCCTCTCATCTGCCACCCGGAGTAGAGTGCTCAAGGATTCTGTTGCCCACTGCAGGAGATACAGAAGCAAGAAATATAACATGAATGCTTTATTTCTGCTGCAAATATCCCCTCACTCTCTTCTTGGTCAGTGTATCACTGCTCTCAGAGCAAGTGGCTTGCTTGGTATTTTGCCCAGTAAAGAGATGAGAAAATTTTCAAAATTAGTTCTTTCCATTAGTATCTAATATTTTACTACCTGGTTTACAAAGCCAGTCTTAGGATTATTTTGGTACTATGCAGGCATAAAGCCTGTAATTCAGTATTAAAAAAATACATGCAGCCCTTCAGGATCCTAAAAGGTTCACTCGTGGCTTGCAGTCATAAAAAGGTTGCTCATCACTGCCGTAAACCAAGTTCAAGGCAAACTTTGAGTTTAATCTACAAGCTATAAATTTTAAAGCTATTGTCTCAAGTTCCAACTATGGCAAGATTCTTGCAAATTTCATCTCACTATGGTAAGGATGCTGAAGCTCACTTTATTAAAGACCCAAATTTCACCATTGGGGGTAGGCCTTGGGACACCATGGCCATTGTAATGGAAGAGAACACGTTCCTCCTTGGCATTTCTTCTCAGAGACATACACAGCTTCTTTACTACTTCCACTGTAGGATCTAGACTCTGCTTGTATCGAGCTCGTGACTGCCATCTTTCATATTGCTTCTGCAGTCTTGCACCAATGGTCTCAAGGGCTACCATTGGGGTCATGGAAAGGGGATCTGGTCCAAGAATGAGAAGAACTGGTGCAATAATAGGACTCAGGATGAAAAAGCCAATAGCCAAAGGAAATGCCTTACCAATCCAACATTCCATTCGAGAACAAGGCTGAGTCTTGACAACATCTGGAGGATCAACTCCAACATTTAGGCATAGCACAAGTGCAACACTCACAGTTTTCATCTGAAAGAATGAAACAAATAAAGGCATGTCCTAGCATGTATTTATGAACTTAATGCTGACTAGGCTGCTGATGGAAATATTGATTGGAAAAGAGTTTTACATTTCAAATCAGTTGTACTGAGCCTTTGCAAATGAGCTGCATTGGAATATTTCTCACCCTTTCTCTCATTCTCCATGTGTGCAGGACAGGAGGCACTCCTTCTATCTTCTCAAGGTGCCTCACCTCAGAGAAAACCAGTGGCAACTTCCAATCTTCCAAAATATTGTCAGCATCTTTTGGTTGTGAGATGCTCTCTCCTTCTTGCTTCTGGGACTCAGATTTCATCCCAAGAAAAGTATGGTAGAACTAGCCACACTTTCTCTCAATTGTGATTGAACCAGAGATCAGTGATTACTGGTACCAGAACTTCATAATTCACCCAAGCAAACCTAAGACAGCATAGGTCACATCTCTCCTGGAACTACAAAACCATATATGAACACTGCAATCAATGGTGCTGAAAATGCACTGGAACTTTCAAATGGGCAGAGGAAACATGAAGAAACATGCTTGTAACATAGGACCTAAAGACATTTGATAGATGGAAGGAAGGCTATCATATTGGGAATGTACCAGTTGAAAATATTTTGATTTTTTAATGCTGGATGCTAGCACAGNAAAAAAAACTAGAATTTTAATACTTTCACTCCCAAGCCTAAGTAGGTAGTATATGCATTAATTCCCAAGCTAGTCTTATACCAAAATGGCAGTGTTACTTGAAAAATTATTACATATCCAATTTAACTATTAGCACATAAAACCAGTGCTGAGAGATTGGCACCTTGGGAATTTCAACATGAATATAAAGAGTCAATATATTGGCACCTTCAGATTCTAAGGGTTAATAGATCCTAAGAGTCTTAAGATGTCAAATAAAAATACATGCTTTCAATTAAATGTAAGAAATGAATTGCCTACATTCATTGAGTGATACTACAACAAGGATGCACTGTTCTACATTTAACCCCTTGGAATTGTATTTTTTCACAGAATGTTTGTCATTTTTCAAGTCATCAAGCCTTTAACCAGTTAACTTGAAGCAGTGCTGCTATGCAACCATACAGGTTAACACAAACCTTGCCACTCAATTCAAACCAAACTTGATGTCCCCGTCACAATCACCAAATTAAAAAAAAATTTTGGATTGAAGGATTGAAGAAATTGAACTTTTGATTGAAGGATTGAACAGCCATGATGGCATACACTGTCGAATGATGGCAAGGGGTTAAATCTCAATATCAAAGCTTCCTGAACAATGAGGTAGGGGCCTGTGAGATGACCAGGAACCACATGAAAGGGAGGGGAGTGGAATGAAACATTGAAAACACTTCAACTGAAAGTCAAATTGAAGTCCAAAACAAAACAAGATCACTTCATAGACATGCCTTCAAGTCACCTACTACTAACAACAATTCTCACACAAAATTCTAATGATTCAATTTAGACCTTGGTGGCATTAAATTAAACTCTCAGACAAACTGAGGCATAACCACTAAGTAGCTAGTGTGAGATACAAGCACTCAAGGACATTTTTTTCCCCCTCTCCTTTTTTTTCCCCCTCTCATCAGCCACCCAGAGTAGAGTGCTCAAGGATTCTGTTGCCCACTGCAGGAGATACAGAAGCAAGAAATATAACATAAATGCTTTATTTCTGCTGCAAATATCCCCTCACTCTCTTCTTGGTCAGTGTATCACTGCTCTCAGAGCAAGTGGCTTGCTTGGTATTTTGCCCAGTAAAGAGATGAGAAAATTTTCAAAATTAGTTC